CAAGGACACCATATTAAATTTACTTATTTCTTTAGTATGTCAAGGTCTTTGACAGCTTATTTTTGATGAGGTGGATGGTTTTAAGACGTTCTAATCGGGTATTTTGTAGTTCTTCCTCTAATTTGGGTTTGTCCAGGGTATTCTTCATACTAACACTGGGTTCATAGCTTTTGGAAAGGAGCAGCAGCATGCTGTTCTCATCTCATGATATTGATGATACGAACTGCCAACAATACCTTATGATTGACAGTATAGTAAGTTTGATTATTGGACAGAGGCAGTTGTTGTCATTTGTCTTATTGTAAAATACTCTATTCCCCCACTTCTATACCTTCACCTAAGTGCTCTGGAAGCAAATTTCTGAGCACAGGATACGTTTTGCGGGGTTTGGAAGAAGAGTATCTGCAGAAAGATTTTTTTTTTTTTTTTTTGGTAAGGGAGATCTGTCTCTCTTCCCCTATTCACTCATTTACATTGAGTATGAACCTATATATATATATATATAATATATATATAGTGTATATATATAGTGTGTGTGTATATATATGTATGAACCTATATATATAGTGTATATATATATAGTGTGTATATATATATATGTATATATATGTATATATATATATATACACTTCGGTATGTTACCCAATTCTATATTATCTGTTTAAACCAAGGAGAGTGCTATCCCATCGGATTCTGTGTCTTTCTGGCATAGCCCATCTTCTTTTCCCTTGTTTTGTAACACAAGATACAATTGTCTTTCCCATATTCTCCAAAACAGCTTTAGATTTGGCAGTTTTGTCTGAAGAGTCCTGTTCCTTTTATTGCAGAATTGGAGACCAAGATTTGGATCTGGGTGCTTATCTCCAAGGTTAATGGTTAATTATGACAGTTTTTAAATGGTGTTATTTCCACTTTTTTTTTTTTACATATTACCTATAGATATTTCTGATGTTTTAAGTTTCTTTTGGGTTTTACTTTTTATGAATAAGAGGCTTTAATTTCACTGGGGTTAAAAAAAATCTCTCTTGATAGGTATTCTGATTCGTGGTCGTGTCTCTTATTGTTCTCAAACTAATCAGTTCCTTTCTTAAGGCCTGATGCATTTATATGCTATCCCTCCACCCCGCTCTGGTTTAAAGTTTAACCATTTATGAATTCACTATATCTGGGATCGATTATAGGAGGGTATTATTAAGGTTTATTTAAATGATTTACAAGATGTCCTAATAGACTGCATTGACTATTTCCATTCCAGATTATGGTATCTCTTCTGTTAATATGTTAAAATCTTACTAGAATGTCATCTTCCAGGCTATGTACTCTATTGATGAGATCTATTGAGGGTAAGGTTTTTGGGAGTGGCTTCAATCAGTAGTAGTTTGCAGCCCTTGGGATATTTGCCAATGTTTGAAAACATTTTGCTACAGCTGAAGATCCAGGGCTCTAAGGAAATGGAGTGAGTAGAAGTCAGGAATGCTGCTAAGAATTATGTAACACAATGTCTCTAAACAAAAAGTATTCAGCAAAAAGTGTTAGTCATGTTGGGTTGAGAAACTGCAATAGGAGATTCCATTAGATTAAGAAGGGAAATCAGATAGGACTAAATGAAAGAGCGGAATACCTTGCTTGCTAGGTTAAAAGTTACTTCACTAAAACTTTTCCTTGTCTAGCTTCCAAAATAAACATTCCTTCCTTACCTTGTATGCTCACATAACTATTGTATGTTAGAAAATTGTCATTATCTATATAGATATGCATCCTCCTATATCCTAGGTTGAGGTCTTCATTAGGTACCACATAAATTCTGGTATAGAGATTTCTGTAACACTGAATTCCTGCTGCCAAGGAGAATGAAGTTAAAATAAAGAGGCAGCACCACGTGACAGAGAATGATCTTTGTTGTTTGAGTCATTCATGAACTGTGTAACCTGGTCAACTTGAATTCCAATTTTCTGTATCTCTAAATGATGGAGAAAATCAAATTGGGGGCAGGTAGAGACTATTTTTAAAAATTGGGAAGTTTTTCATAGAGATCTTACACAGTTAGTCCTCACCATTAGGCTGTATTATAGTAATTAAAAAGTCACAAAAATAAATTTGTGAATTGAAATTATCTTAAGACTGGATTCTCATTTTAGTTCAGAAAATTTTAAAATGAACTGATGCAGTCATGCAAGAGAAACAGCACCAAATTTTTGGGTTTTCCTCTATATATTCCTTTATATGCTCGGAGAACAGCATAAAACCTTTAGGCAGGAGACTAAAGTATGTTGTAATTTATTAGAGCAGTAGATCTCTTCTCATAGAAATGAAATAGTTTTCAGACTGGTCTTCAGTTGTAGATCCCCTCAAAAAGTGGGAAGAAAATGAAGCAAATTGGGGACTTTGAGAACCAGGGAAGGACAGAATATCAAAGCCATGGTTAAAATGGAACCTTGTAAATTAGGTGAGTATTAGTTTCCTTAATCCTTGAAGATTCCTACTTATAGATATGAAAATTTATCCTCAAATGGCAAGTTTTGGACCAGAGTCTAATCTGTATCATCTCAGTGAAATTGTGGCAACTGATAGATTCTAGTGGATTAAAGAAGTGAAATAAAGTATAGAACAATCAAGAGTTTGATCATGATGATGGGGGGAATGTGGCAGAAAGAGAGAATTGTGAAAGACTAGATTTATGTATGTTTCTGTGCTTGTGGGGATAACTTGGAGTATAGGGAAAAGGTGTAGAAAAGAGATTACTAGTGGGTTACATATTTGGAAATGGCTGCAGATGAGATTCAGATCTTGGTTGGAGGGACTAGCAGTAGAGAAATAGAGGAAGCTCTCTTCCTTTATTTTAGATAAAGAGGGAAAGAAAAACGTCCACATGCAGGAATATCTGTCCTTTTCTAGAAAGGAGGTTGAGAGTATTGTGTTCTATGATGTACTTGCTCTTACTACCATATGCTGTATGTTCTGGAAAAAAATCAGTATTCCCTTAATCTTCTCAAATCTATTCTGTTTTGTTTCTTTTGGGGAAAAAATACCATAGAACTATTTTATACAGTCTATTTGTAACCTAGCATATTATTTCAGTGCTTTTTAAAAACAATCTTAAAGCAACTGTTAGTCCGGCAATCACTGTACTCACAGGTATAACAGTATAGAGTTCCTATGTAACTCTTCAAATAATTCAGCTGCTCTTTAGTAAACTCTCTGTAAATTTTCCCATATCTTTTCCAATCCCATTAACAAGAATAAGTGGGGTAATTATAGAAAACTGGAAACGTAGGCTGTTAGGGAAAGAGCTGTACTACTTACTGTCCTTCCAGGCAAATTGCTGAAGAGTAGATGAGAAACTTGCGGGCACTGGGGAGAGGGTGGAGGGTGCTTAAGTGATTAATTGGTCTTCCCAGGAGCAAGATACGACTTTTAAAATGGTTGATTTTAAAGGGGAAATCTAGGACTTAGAAAATTAGGATTTGGGCCTGGCCTGATAGCCTAGTAGCAAAAATCATTGCCTTGCATGCACCATGATACCATATGGGCTCCAGTTTGTAATCTGGCTGCTCCACTTCCCATCCAGTTCCCTGCTTGTGGCCTGGGAAAGCAGTAGAGGACAGCCCAAAGCTTGGGGACACTGCACCAGGAGAGAGGAGAGAGAGATGCAGAAGAAGCTCTTGGCTCCAGATTGGCTGAGTCCAGCTATTGTGGCCACTGAGGGAGTGACCCAGGAGATGGGAAGATCTTTGTTTCTCCTCTCTGTAAAAATAAGACTTTCCAAAAAAAAATTATTAAAGAAAATTTGGATTTAATGATTTTGAAGTGTCAAACTGGGAATGAGGGAATGAAACTGCCCTGATACATGATAGATACCAGTAGAAATGAATTATTGGAGTTTACAATTTATGATTTGAGTAATTTGTGATCGGTTCTAGGTGAGAGCATTATAGTAAAATGCCAAAGTTGATGTCAAGGATATGATAGGAGGCTGTTTTGGATAAGTTAAAATAAGTTTTAACACTGAATTCATCAACAATAACTGTAGTGCTGCGGAATGGATGTGAAGTTTGCAAGTTAGGAACAGACACCCCCCCCCAGTGATACCTGGGTATTCATCACAAGGGACAGTTTAATGAGAGACAGATAGCAGCACATTCCAATTGCATGTGCTTCGTGAATTGTGTTGGCATGGTTTTATAGACTGACATGTTGTTAGGAGAAAGTGGGATGAAGAAAATTACCACCACTCAGTAGGAATGTATAATGTGCTGGGTAATAAATGGACCACTACCTCAATTGGTCCATGCTACAGTCCTCCGAGTTGGTTTTGATATACCCTCTTTGCAGGAGACAAAACTAAATCAGATAACTTGTCTTTTTTTCTAATAGTTCACAAGTGGTGCAGCTAGGAAGGTAAGGTGGAAGAAATATACGACATCTATATTAGAAGGAAGTTTTATTATAGAAAATGTATTAGAGGATCCTGGGCCAATGCTAAACCTCATGTAGTTGTCTTTAAAATATAGCTAGATTTGGGCCCAGCGGCGTGGCCTAGCAGTTGTTAAGGTCCTTGCCATGAACGCCCCGGGATCCCATATGGGCGCCGGTTCTAATCCCGGCGGCCCCACTTCCCATCCAGCTCCCTGCTTGTGGCCTGGGAAAGCAGTCAGGACGGCCCAAAGCCTTGGAACCCTGCACCCGTGTGGGAGACCCAGAAGAAGTTCCTGGTTCCCGGCTTTGGATCAGACTGGCGCAGCACCGGCCATTGCGGCCACTTGGGGAGTGAAACATCAGACGGAAGATCTTCCTCTCTGTCTCTCTCCTCTCTGTATATCTGACTTTGTAATAAAAATAAATAAATCTTTAAAAAATATATAGCTAGATTCAATAAACATTAAGCATTTATAAACATTTATTATTTCTGTTTCTACTCTTGGTTTTCCATAGGTCCTATGTATTTCATTGATTTTGATCACTTTTCTCCACTGGAAGCTGATTGTTAATTCGTGGACACGATGGCAGATTCTTCATCGTCTTTCTTTTCTGATTTTGGACTGCTGTTGTATTTTGAGGAGCTAAACAAAGAGGAATTCAATAATTTCAAGTTACTCCTTAAGCAAAGAACAGATGCCCTAATACCCTGGTCTGCAGTGAAGAACGCCAAGCGTGAAGATCTGGCTAACCTGATGAATAAATATTATCCAAGAGAACAGGCTTGGAATGTGACTCTCCAAATCTTTGGCAAGATGAACCTAAAGGGTTTGTGTGAGAGGGCAAAAGCAGAGATCAACTGTAAGTGATTCTGGGTACAGATCTGTGTCTAGGGAGAGGGGAATGTTTCCTGGAACCCGTGGAAAGAGGTTATCAGAGATTAGGGGCTTCAACTATTGTGAAAGACACTAGCTCTGTGGTTATGTACGTAGTGGGGCTTTTTGAGTCATTTGAGGATTGTTGAAAGGATAATTTGCACTGTTACCTATTCTGGTTCCTTAACTGGAGGAAATTTATCTATCTTGTACCAACCAAAATGATGATGAAGACTGATCAATAGGAATTGCCTTTTTCAGTATACCTTTGCCTAAGCAAGTTAGAGCTAATTTGAAAACTCACAAATATTACTCAACATATCTTAAAATATGTTAAATATTTTTATATATTATGGCTGTTTTAGATTTATGGGCTAAACTTCAGAAAAGGCCATAGATCAATCTAATATTGCATTCTGAAGTATGAAATACTGCAGACATCTGAAATTCCTTACTGCTATCCAAGGCCTTATAACTATAAACAGTGTATATCGCTTTTATCCTTTGATCTTCACCATATAACTGAGAAGGTGGGATAGACAAGGAAACAGGCTTACATTAAACATGGGTAGGGGCACAATAAGCAATCTCCTGTGTAAGCACTACTAATAGCACATCACTTCCTTCAGCTTAGCTGATGGAGTCTGAGGTGCTGCTGGTGCGAGCTTTCCTAAACCAAGTTGGTTATGGAATTGGACCACTGAGGAGAATGCTGGACCCTGTTAGGACCATCCAAAGTTAGTAAGGCTTGTGTTTCTCCTGCAGGTTCAGCCAAGACTATGGAACCAGGAGATGTTGAGGATAAAGAGATACACAGTGGTCAGGACCTGGTGCTGGGTGAGTAGATAGGTTTTTTTTCGTCCAGATTTGGGAGGAAGTTGGATTTCTGAAGAATTCTTCTACACTTGATTTTAGTCAAAAGGCTGAGAAGTGACTGAAGAATTCTTTTAATACCCCACTTTTTACTTTCAGTTTCATTCAGAAAGAGCCAACAAGAATGTCTGGCCAGAAGCAGAATCGAACCCCTTATAACTCGGGGCCTCACGAGAGTAGTATTTGGAAATACCTAGTCAAAAGCTGTTAGTCTGATGGACACAAAGCACTGTCCACATTTGTATTGTGTGGACTAAAGAGTTTCTGGATTGGCAGGGACCGCTGGATTCCTTTAATCTGGTCTATTCTTTTAGAGACAGTGCCGTAATAAAAGTTCAGAAGTTCAGACCAGTCAGTCCAAATAAAATCCAATTTCTAAAACCAGGCCATTTCATTTTTAGTTCAATACATTGCCATTTTCTCTACTTTGTTTTCAAGTCTACATTGTTGAGTTCTAGTTAGTAGAAAAAAAAAAAACTGGTTCTAGATATAGCTTTTAACTTAGCCATACTGCATTCACACGATCTCACTCAACAAATGACTATGATTGCATTAAATTCCAACCAGCAATAAATTAAAATTATTTACTGTCTTGAATGACCTTGAGAATAATATCTTCATTGTGACCTTATGACTGAATGTAAGAATTTTTGTAGAGTGAGGTGTAATTAAGTTACTTTTATTTTCTCAGATCTAATAGCTGTTTCCCCAGGTGTAGATATTTACATTAATGTAGCTAATTATTTCTTTATTCTGGGTAGTTTGTGAAAAACATAATTTAGAATACTTTGTAAAATATTATAAGGATAAAATAATAAAAAACTAAGTTAAGAAATGATTGATTCTCCTCTTCCTGTGTGAACCAACACCACAGTGTGTTGACTGCTGCTGTTTAAAGACTTCCGTTTTATGAAACAGTGCTCCATTTCTGTCTCCTGTCATATGAGGAAGTACTGACATACCCTCCCAAATACATTTCTTTCAATAGTAAATATGTAAAGTGATTACAGGTTGGGATATATCCTGTGAATGAAAAATATACTGTGTATTATTTGTACTTAAGAGGGAGAACTCTTGTCACATTGGAGTTCTGAGGAGATTTCCCTGAGATAGTGCCATATATATGCTTACTATTTGTAATATTATTTGCTTCAAAAGCTAAAAGACAGTAAATGGAAGATTGCTTGTTGACTCGTCAAATGTCTATCACATTCCAATGTGAACCAGGAAAAAACCAGTAAGCCAGCACATGGGAACTCAGTCCAGGTCTCCTACATGAGTATCAGGGACCCAAGTGCTTGAACCATCACCTACTGACTCCAAGGGCAGGAAGCTGGAAAAGGAACAGAACTAGGCTCAAAGGCAGGTACTCTGATACGGGCTAACAGCAACACGAAAGGCTGGTTAAATGTCATTTAAATAGAAATCTTAATGTGGAATCATGTTTAGCCATATAAAGATGAAATTATATTTTCATTGTACATGGACACTGGGATTTTGTCCTCCTTTATTACATTTTTACTTGCATGGATTATCTTAATCTGTAAGTTTAGGCATATCTTTGGGATCCTCCCTGGTTAATGTGATTAATTCTTGCATCTATTTTTTAATCTCGATAATAACTAATCTCCACATATGTTTAGTTTTAGAAGGAAAGTGCTTAGAGAAAGTATTTCTGGTAAATAAAGGCTAACCTATTTTCTCTCACAAATTCATTTTATGCATTATCAATTCTGAGTTTTTTCTAGATTCTAATACAAGTTTTAAACATGTAGGAATCTTGGTGTAACTTTTAAAATCTAAACCAGCTTTGAATTTGACCTTAATTGTTACTTCTTCCTAACCCCACATCTAATATTTTTAACATTAGAACTCACAGAATTTGTTTTGATCATGTGTTTTATTGCCTATTTTTGTTCCCTGCTGTTTTCTAACCTAGATAGTAGAACAGAATACAGAAGTCAAATACAGGAAAAATTTAGCCTCCTGTGGGATAACCATTCCTTTCTTGGAGATCTTGGAACTCTCCATTATAGAATTGCTCAGGAAGATAAAAAATTGTTGGAGCATTTGTTTGATGTGGATGTCAAAACTGGTGAACAGCCAAAGACGGTGGTGCTTCTGGGAGCTGCTGGAGTTGGCAAAACACAGTTGGCAAGGCAGGCAATGCTGGATTGGGCTGAGGGCAATCTCTATCAGCAGAGGTTTGCCTATGTATTTTACCTCAATGGGAGAGAGATAAACCAGCTGAAAGAAAGCAGCTTTGCTCAGCTGATATCAAAGGACTGGCCCAGCACAGAATACCCCATTGAAAAGATCCTGTCCCAGCCAAATAGTCTCCTTTTTATTATTGATAGTTTTGATGAACTGAACTTTGCCTTCGAGGAACCTGAGTTTGCCCTGTGTAATGACTGGCGCCAGGTGCACCCAGTGTCATTCCTCCTGAGTAGTTTGCTAAGGAAAGTGATGCTCCCTGAGTCATCTTTATTGCTGACACTGAGACTTACAAATGCCAAAAAGCTAAAGCATTTGTTAAAGAATGAGCATTATGTAGAGGTGCCAGGAATGCCTGAGTTTGCAAGAAAGGAGTATATTTGCCGATTTTTTGAAGATAAGAATTCGGGTATGAAAGCATTCCGTTTGCTAAGAAGCAATGAGATGCTTTTTAGCATGTGTCAAGTCCCCCTTGTGTGCTGGATTGCTTGTACCTGTCTGAAACAGATCATGGAAAAGGATGGCGATGTCACAGTGACCTGCCGAACACCCACAGATCTTTTTACCTGCTACATCTCTGACTTGTTCACATCAGTAGATGGATGCTCACTTAATCTACCCAACCAGGACCAACTGGGGAGGCTGTGCTGCTTGGCTGCTAAAGGTATATGGACTATGACATACGTGTTTTACAGGGAAAACCTCAGAAAGTATGGGTTAACTAAATATGATGTCTCAATATTTCTGGACATGAATATTCTTCAAAGGGACAGAGAGCTTGAAAACTGTTATGTGTTCACCCATCTGCATGTTCAAGAGTTTTTTGCAGCTATGTTCTATATGTTGAAGGACAATTGGGAAACTAGGGATAATCCTGCTGATTCTTTTGAAAATTTGAAGTCGGTGTTTGAAAGCAAAAATGATAAGGACTCTCATTTGATGCAGATGAAATGCTTTTTGTTTGGCCTTTTGAATGAAGAACGAATAAAACAACTGGAAAAAGCTTTAAATTGTAATATGTCATTAGATGTAAGACAACAGTTATTGCAGACAATGCAAGTATTAGGAAACAGTGATTATTCTCCATCAGAGCTCGGATTTCTGGACTTGTTTCACTACCTATATGAGACTCAAGATGAAGCATTCGTATGTCAGGCAATGAGCTATTTTCCAAAGGTTGATGTTAATATTTGTGCAAAAATCCATTTGTTTGTGACCTCATTTTGCCTCAAGCACTGCCGAGATTTGCAAGCCATTAAATTCTCTGTATCTGTGATATTTGAGAAGATTTCAAGCTCAAGTTGGTCACCTGAAATAAGGTGAGTGTGTTTGGTCATTTCCTCAGAAGTGCCATGTAGGGGAGTGAAAAATAGTTAGCTGAGCTGTCAGAGTGGGATAAAACTTCCAAGTTGTTCCACTTGGAGGCAATAAGGCTGGGCATTTAAACCCCTGAATGAGGTGGCCAGAAACTTGTCTGAGATAGCTTTTTTGGCCTGAGGGCAACACAAAGCAAAGGTGCGGACCCAGAGTTTTGAGTTGTCAAACCTGCCCACAAGTGAGGAGAAATGTAGCTATAAGGCAAACTTAGATTCATTATGGGTACACTGGATGCTCTTGCCATTTCCAAAGTACACTCAGTTTTATCCAATTTAATCTTCTCAGAGTTATCTAAGCTGAAATACACTCATTGATCTTTTCTTTCTATATTTAGGCAAAGTGATGATGAAATCATTACTCATTGCTGGGAAGATCTCTGTTCTGTTCTTCATACAAATGAACACTTGAAAGAATTGAGCCTGTGCAGAAGCAACCTTGATAAACTAGCTATGAAGACTTTTTATCAAGGACTTAGCCACCCAAACTGTAAACTGCAAAGGCTGCTGTAAGTCTGGCATGATAAAATATTATGCAGTTAATCCAGATTCTTTGTTATATGTGCAACTCAGACTTGCTAGGGGAAATCAGTAGTATACAAATACAGTTGCATGTCATATCATGTTTCCATCATTAACAGACTGCATATAAATTGGAATACTTTGTAGAATTCAGCAGTGAAGCCTTCTGGACCCGGGCTTTTCTTTGTTGGAAGGGATTTAATTATTGATTCAATCTGTCTTGTTTTTAGGTTTATTTTGATTTTCTGTTGCCTTTTGTCTTAGTTTTGATAGATGGTATGAGTGCAGGAATCTACCTATTTCTTGGAAGTCTTCTGATTTGTTGGCATATACTTGCTTGTGGTAATTTCTGATTGTTCTCTGTATGGCCGAGGTGTCTGTTATGGTCCCCTTTTCATCTCTGATACTATTCTTGTCTTATGCTTTTTTTTTTTTTTTTTTGGTCAGTAGGGCCAGTGGGCTATCTATTGTTTCATTTTCTTGAAGAAACAACTCTTTAATTGATTTTTGTGTATTGTTCTGTTGGTCTCTGGTTTATTTCTTATTTTGATCATTACTTTTTTTTCTGTTGGGATTATTTTTGCTGTTTTTCTAGCTCCTTCAGGTGTATACTTAGCTCATTTACCTGGTGTCTTTCTTGTTTTCTAATGTATGTGCCTATTGCAACCAATTTACCTCTTAACACTACCTTGGCAACATCTGACATGTTTTGTAATGGTGTGTTTTTTATTGGTTTCAAAGAATTTTAAAAATTCTAATCTCTTTTGTAACCCATTGTGCATTTGTTCAGTAGCATGTCATTTAGCTTACCAGAATTTTCATGTTTCCTGGGAGTATTTTTGATTTGTTGATCTCTAGTGTCACTCCATGTTGGTCAATGTTCTCAAATTGCTGAGGCTTGTTTTATGATTTATAATATTGTCCATCTTAGAGAAGGTTCCATGTACAGCTGGAAAAAATGCATATTCAGTGTCCGTGGGATGCAAGGCTGTGTGTATGTCTATTAATTCCATTTGTTCTATTGTCTGTGTGAGATCTGTTGCTTCTTTACTGAGTTTCTGTCTCATCGATTTGTCTATTGACATTGAAGGGGGGGTTCACCATTATTATAATGGCATCGATCTCTCCCCTTAGGTCTGTCAATTGTTTCATATATTCATTTATTATTATTTCCTCTTGGTGACTGGCTCCCTTTATCATTATATAGTGTCTCTCTTTAGCTCTTTTAGTGTTTTTTCATGGTGAATCTATCTTGTCTGATAGAATAGCTACACGGGTTTTTTTTTTTCTTTACATTGGCATGGAATGTTTTCCATTCTTTTACTTTTCAGCTTCTGTGTATTTTTATTGATTAGATGTGTCTCTTGTAGGCAATAGATGAGTCCTGCTTTTTTATTTTTCTGTTAATCTGTCTTTTGATGAATGTAGGCCATTTGTGTTCAAAGTTAATACTGACAGATTGCAATTTGGTCCTGTCATTCATGTTTTGGGAACTCTGCTTACTACTTTAATGGGTTGAATTTCCTATTTTTCCATTGTTGATTGTGGTTCAATTCCTTTTTTCCTGTCTTCAGCGTGTTTTTCAGTAGCATTTCTAGGCTGACGTAGTATTGGATTATTCTTCTAACTTCTTTTTACTATGGAAATATTTTATTTTGAAACACAATTGAAAACTTTGCTGGATATATTATTCTGGGTTTGACAGATTTTCTGTTTTAGGATCTGGAAAATGTTAATCCATTCTCTTCTTGCTTAAAGGGTGCCTGCTGTGAAATTAGCAATGAATCTGACTTTTCCCTGTATGTTATCCCTTTTTCATGGTTAGTTCAATATTCTTTGTTTTGTTGAGGTGAGTTTGAAAATGATGTGTCTGGGTGAGGGAATTTTTGGATCAAGTCTGTTTGGGGTTCTCTGCCCTTGCTGTATTTGGCTTCCCCTTCTGTTTCCAATGTTTGGGAAATTTCTTAATTTCATTGACTACTTCTGCAAATCTTCCTCTTACCATGCCTTCAGTAATTCCTATAAATCTAATACTCAATTTTTTGATAGTGTCATTCAGTTCTTGGATACATTTCTTGACTTTATTCAGGTTCTCTCCCATATGTCTAATTGTGTGTTCTCGAATTGATTATCTTTCAATTCTGACATTTTCTTCTATATCATTCTTTCTATTGTTGAGGCTTTCTATTGTATTCTTTGACTCAAGTATTTCAGTTTGGACCTGTTACAGATTCTATCTCTGTGGTGATATATTCCTAAGTTTCTCAAATTCTTGCCATCATTTCTCACTGTCTCTGAAAAGTTTTATAATGATTTTTTTCTTTTCATTCCCTGTCTGGGAGATCCTCAATCTTTATCCTGCTTTAAGGTTGATATGATTTTTATTCATTTTTGAGGGAAGCATTAGTTTCCTCATTTAAATTGCCTCCTGTTTTTCTGTTGCCCTTCCCCATGGCCTTTGGATCTGTGGGCTTTCTTGTACCTGGTGATATTATGCTTGACCCCGTGGGCCTTCAGTTTCTGGTGATTTGCTGGTATCTTCTGAGATGTCTGCGATCAGTGAGGCTGTTGAGGTGTAAGGACGCACATTGTGTGCCTGCTTAGGAAGAGATCCTCTCTGACTCTTGTCTGCAGCTTCTTGGTCACATCAGCACATCAGGTGTGTGTGGCCCCAGGCTTTGCAGCTGTGAATGTGTGCCTAGCACTTGGGAAAGAGTTCCTCTCTGATTTGCCTTGTCTGCAGCCTCTCAGCCACCTTGGCAGATCAGCTGTACATGCCCCCAGGCACTTGCAGCTGCACATATGCGGGTCATCCTCTTCCTATATTATTTGGTGTCTGGGTCCTAGCACTGGCCAACATAACTGCATCTGGGGTTTCCCTGCAGTTCACATAGGGATTTGTGCAGTTGCTCCCAATCCAGACTCTCTCTGCACCCTAGTTATCCTGTTTCCCTCTTAGGTGGTCCTGGTATCTGTTCTGAGGGGTGCTGGGGGGGAGAGGAGGAGGAGTAGGGCACAGACCCTTCTGGTATGGGTAGATTCAGTTCTTGTTCCATGTAGCTCTTCCTCAGGTAGTTCACTACCCAAACTCTCTCACCCCAATACCTTGTTTCCCAATGGCATACCTGCTTCGGTAATGGGGTGGAATATGGTGTTCAATCACCTTCTGTGGATTTCTTCTCGGCTTCACCTTCCTTTACTCGTATTTTCTCCCATGGCTTTTTTGCTTCCCACTGTCTCTTTGGGGAAACTTCCTAGGAGTCTCCCTCTGCCTGCTCCTTTTATACTGGTTCAAAATTCACTAGGCTTTTGTCTGTGGTTTGCAGTGCCTCCCCATAGCTCTCTTGCACTCACCTTCTTGAACTGCCAGTTACAACCTTGTTTAGTAGTTTTTCCTTGTCTGTGTGGCTCCTGCTTCCCTCCAGTGGACCCCAGGAAGCTTCAGTCATCTTTTCCGGTGATTCTCCTTTTCCAACTCTTTTGCTTCACCTGTTTTTGTCTCAGAGATCTCTACTCTCAGCTACACCTGCCTTCCCTGATTGGCCATCTTGTCCTCTGCCCGGATTACATTTATAATGATGGTCCATAAGATTGCATCATGTAATGACTTTGCAGCTGCTTTAGTTTGTGTAAGTAACCCAGATGTTTGTTCAACAATTAAATCATTGAACAATACAGTTCCAAGAGTGTATGTCGTCCTTAAACAGCATATGACTATTTGGAATCAGTTATGTTGTATGAAACACTGTAAAGACATGAACAATAGAAAAGAAATGGGATCATAACTGACTTGTTTGGGGTAAGATTGCATTGTAGCTGATGACATGAATTTTGATGCTCTATTGAGATTTTTTTTTAGGATTTTACTTATTTTTATTGGAAAGCCAGATACACAGAGGAAGATCTTCAGTCCACTGATTCACTCCCCAAGTGGTCACAACAGCTGGAGCTGAGCTGATCTGAAGCCAGAAGCCAGGAGGTTCCAGGTCTCCCACGCAGGTGCAAGGTCCCAAGGCTTTGGGTCATGCATGAGTGCTTTCCCAGGCCACAAGAAGGGAGCTGGATGGGAAGCAGGGCCACTGGGGGGACACGAACCCATGCCCATATCGGATCCTAGTGGATGCAGGGCAAGGACTTTAGCTGCTAGGCTACCGTGGCACACCCACTTAGAGATTTTTTTAACATGAGCAAGAACACAGAGCCCAGAGCTGACATTGCAGGCAAATTAACAGATTTCAGTGAAATATTCAGTAACTTAATTTTGTGAAATAATTACATTCAGTAAAATACAGACGTTAAATATTCACTTTCTCACATCTGAACAAAGGTAAACGCTATGTCACCCTCCTAAATAAGACAAATAATGTTTCCATTCCCTCCAATAAGTTCCCCTCATATTCCTCTCTGTTCAGTCCTGTCACTCCATCCAGTGTAGTGGAATCACTTTCTTATCCATGTTACCACAGATCTTAGAAATAATTCAGATTCTTTCATCCCCATAATTTTTAATTTATTTTTTATTGGAAAGTCAGATATACAGAGAGGAGGAGAAACAGAGAAGATCTGTCTGCTGATTCATTGCTGACCTGCAATGGCCAGAGCCAAAGTCAGGAGCTTTTCTGGGTCTCCCTCGTGGGTGCATGGTCCTAAGGCTTTGGGCCATCCTCTACTGCTTTCTCAGGTCACAAGCAGGGAGCTGGATGGGAAGCCTGGCCACTAGGATTAGAACTGGCACAGGTATGGGATACCAGTGCATGCAGGGCAAGGACTTTAGCCACTAGGCTACCATATCAGGGCATCCCTATAACTTTTAAATAATCATACGTAGTTAACACTATAGTAGTGTAATACTCTTTAACCATTGGTTTGACAAAGATATAAAAAGTATTTGACAAAGCTATCTTTGTAGCAATGCATATACACAGAGACCTTTTGTTTTTGTGTTATACTAGAGTTAGTTTCTCTTTAAACATTTTGTAGAATTTTCAGTAATAAAACCACTAAATCCTAAACTTCTCCTCAATGGAAGATTTTTAATTACTATTTCAGTCTTTGTTAGAGAAAATGTAAGCATACCTCTATCTTCTTGATTTAATCTCAAAATTCCTTTAGGGACTTATCTATTTCTTTGAAGTTTTTTGATTTTGTTAGCCTGTTGTTCATAGTTGTCTTATAACTGGTGTTGGTTGTAATGTCTCATTTTTCATATCAACTATTTTTTGAGGGTTTTTTTTCTGTATTGCTTTGTTAGACTTGCTAAAAGTTTGTCTATTTTGTCTATCTTGTCAAAAAATAGTTTTTCATTTTGTTCTGTATTTTTCATTTAATTTCATTTGTTTCTGCTTTGATCCTTTTTATTTCTTATTTGCTGCTGAATCTGGATTGGTTTTCTTTGGTTTGTTCTTGTTTTCTTAAGGCCTAAAGATGCATCCCAAGGTAATTTATTTGATACTTTTAAGAAAAATATAAGCACTTAATACTTTCGGTGTTCCTCCAACTGCTGCTTTTGCTCTATCGCACAAGTTGTGCTACGTCTGCGTTTATTTCAAGAAATTTTTCTATTTACTTCTTAATTTCTTCAGTGACACATTGCTTATTCAGTGGTATGTTTTAATTTCCATGGATTTACAAAAGTCCTATTATTCTTGTGTGAGAATATATATTATAATTCACTTTTTTTTAAGTGGCTAATTTTGATTTGCCTCCCAGTAAATGATTAATCCTAGATTGTTCCAGAGACAATTCTGTAGCAGTTGGGTGAAATGTTTTGTAAATGTGTTTTGAGTCCATTTGCTTGTTAATGTTGTTCAACTGTGACATATATTTTGACATTCTGTCTGGATGAATGAACTGTATTGGAATGTTTCTCTTTGATCTAATATTTGCTGGATGTGTGCATGTATGTGGTGTTCTTGAATTGGATGCATGTATGTTTATGATTATTATGTCTTCTTGATGAATCTGTTCTTTCATCAACACATGAATATCCTTGTCTTTTTTTTTATCTTTTACAGTGTATTAGCTAACATCTGTTTCATCTGACTATCTAGGTACTCCTGCTCAGTTTTGGTTTCCATTTTCCTGGTGTATCTATCTCTAGCTCTTCATCTTCAGTATTTATGTGTCTTTATTTGTGCAGTGAGTTTCTTTTTTTTTTTTTAAGTGAGCCAGTTATTTTCATTTAATTTTATTGCTTTGTTGAAAATAAATTTTGTTTAAATTTATAAATTTAAAATGAGAAATCACAGTAATTCAACAATTGTAAATTTAGTGTCTTAGGTTAGCTAAATATAATGTCAAATTTCTTTGAGAAAATGATTTTTTGTTGTGACTATAGCATTCTTTATGATTCACACATTCTTGGGAAGTCTTGGCTGTACAAGTCATGGCAATGTTTAAGCTCAACACACTTCTTTTCTGAAAGTAACTAACTTTGAAAATGCAAATGTATCTGACAGAAAATATGTCACTGAATTGTAATGTTCAAAGCTATCATAAAATACATGCCAATTACAGAGAACAATGTTTGATATTTCAGAAATATGAAGAATTTTTAACTAAGAAGTTGTACTATTTTATGAAAAAAAAAAAGAACTCACAGAAGTACTTAAACAATAAAGCATGATCAATATGACAAGTTAACAAAAGATCAGCCAAAAGCACAGAAAGGAAAATCACAGTAATACAGATTGAAACCATATCCAAATTTATTTTATTTTATTTATTTATTTTTTTCATATTCAACACTTTATTTGCTCAGTCTTCTTCTTGAATACATGCTCCTCGTGACTGATAAACCTGAAAGACTCATGTTAATGAAGCACTGGCCATGGAGGTTACTTCAGAACTTCATGGAAAATGGAACTCACAGATAAGGGAGATCACACACATGAGGATCTTGGTTCTTTTTTTAATCCATCCAATCAATCTAAACATTTTGACTTGAAAAGTTAATCCATTTACGTTCATGGTAGTACTAACTAACAGAGAAGTCTTTACATTTTATAACATGTCTTTGTCTCTTGGGCATATAATTGGTGGTTAATAGATGTGTACTCTTTGGAGAAATATTTTGCAACTTTTTAAAGTGATTGTTTACTTTCATAGTTCTCTCAGCAACATGTTTAAGTCCTAACTCCTCATCTTTGCTAACACTTGCTGTTCAGTCTTTACTTTTACTTTGATTCCAGATACTCTCTATTACTTTTTTAAATTACTTGTTTCTGTATCTTTTTCTTGTACACAGGCTCTTTGCAGAGCTGGAACTGACTAATTTCCATTGCAATGAGTGCCCATCAATATTCCCAATGTTCAGTTGATGCTTAATATTATGAACAGAACTGAACAAATGATATCCTTGTTTCCAAGGCACAGAAAATAGATGGGCTTTTGAAGGGACAGAATGTTCCAAAGAAAGCATTTTTAGTGATTACTTACCTTATATTTCAAGTAACTAGAACAGCTCTAGTTTCCCAGAAAAGTGAGGTAGTTGGGATTATATGTAATGTTTAAGAGTTCCTTAGACGTCGTGCCTATTATTCCTTCACTTAGTGTCATTAAACTGAATCCTAACAATACCAGCGTCTCCTTTTGAATTAGGCAACTTCCTCTTTTTTTAAAAATACTAGGTTGTTAGTGTGTGCCACCATTTTGCACTGTGGCCTTATTTGCTCAAGTCCCTTTTCCTTAGCAAATGAGATTGCTCATTTTACTGAATGTTACTGGTACACTTACTAGAAGAGGATAGTTGGTGCTCTCAATAGATTGATTTTGTTCGGTGTGCTTGACAGTGGCAGGCTGGAATAAGGAGAGAGCATGTGCTTAAGAGAAGTTTGAACAGTGAACAGTATGAACTGGGAATAGAGAGCTATCAGATACTATCAAATATCGACTGAGTTAGGAAATAAAGGATAGGATGGAATATTGAGTTAACTTCAGAATCTGCTTTGGACTGCTTCTATAACCTAACAAATTCTAGAAAATGATGTGGCATATTATGAAATAATGTTTTGCTAGTTGATGCTGTAAATTTTTCTTCAGGTTATCTAAATTGTCTAAATATTGTGATTTAATGATACAGTCTCAGTACCTGGAACAGGCCTAGTAACTATGACTAGCCTCTGCTGGGATTAAGAGCCTAAGGCTCCTTTGTTAGCAACTTGTTTCCCCGTTTAGCTCAAAATAAATTGGACGATCCATTGTCAGTCTATAAATGGAAAGCCGAAGACGAAACCCAATTGTTTATGTAAGCAGCATCCTGAAACTCAGACTTAAGACCTGACTTCCAATATGAGAAACCCAGAGTAAGATAAGTAGAATAATGAAATATAATATAAAGCATTAGATACAGAATAAAGGAATTATTTTAACCAGAGACAGAAATGATCTTGTAATCTCTCCTGCATATTTTTCTGTTGAAGGTTGAAATCTGTCTCCTTCCCTGATGGTTGTCAGGGTATCTCAAAATTTCTGACTCAAAGTCAGAATTTGACACACCTGGATTTGACAGGCAGTGAAATAGGGGATAATGGAATGAAGTCCCTATGTGAAGCTCTGAAACACCCAAATTGTAAAATAAAGAATCTGAGGTAAGTCTTCAGGTTTTTTGGTTTTGGGTTTTTTGGTGTTTGTTTGTTTATTTGTTTGTTTTTATCCATATTCTAACATCCTGAACTTGGTGTGCAATGAGCTAGCTTACACCCGCTTTTGGGACATATCCCAAATGAGCAGAATAAAGATAATATGCTTCTGAGAGGCCTTCTCGTTCCTTCCATACCCTCACTGAAGACTTCACTGTGGAGAACTGAGTCTCCAGCTTTTGAAGCAGTGGAGAAGAGGAACGAGGGGATGAAAGCAGACCTGGAATTTACAGACAGTGTATCATTTGTTATACTTCACGGTAGAAATACTTCATTATATCTTTGGGCTGTCACAGAAAAGAATGCACTAATGGTAACTAAGGTGTAGTACTGGAGCAAATTCAGTTTTGTTTGAATTTTGATAACAAATATAACCAGGCAAGGAGGTTGAGAGTAACATGACTTCTGTCAATTGTTGGCATCATGGCTAACATCACATACTACTGATCTTAGTGTTGTGCTTCCAGCTGATTTTCTGAGATTAGCAATATTATTTCATTTTCACATTTTAGACAGCTTTTATGACATACCTTATTTGCAAATGAAATGCAGGTGTGCCTGAAAACAAAAACAATGATTGTAGGTTTTAAGCTTAAATTTTTTTTCTAATTCCCAGATTCTATTCAGGGAAGCCATGACTTGACATTGATATGAAGGGCCAATTTTAGGGAAGCATTTTAGAGAATCAGATTATGGCTAGTTTTAGGAAAAACAAGTGAAATCCGAAAGAAGTTCTTTTTTGAAAACATGAATTCTGTTACTATTGACAATTGTTTAAGTCTAACCAGCTTTTATAAGTTTGATTTCCCTTGTTTATACTAGGTCTAGAAAGTTAGATAATTCTTGAACATGGATTGAGTTCAGGAATCAGCAGACCAGGTGGGATCAGATGTTTTGGGACACTATAACCATCTATAATCTGAATCCTAAGGTAGAAGTACATCACTGGTTCCTATAACTGAAATATTTTAGTGAAAAACAGCTGTTAAGTAGGGAGTAAGGAAAGCAATGTTTAAAAGAAAAATTCTTTGAAAAGCAGTTACAAGGAGACAGGCGAGAGCTTCCAGCCATTAGTTCACTCCACAAACAGACAAGACTGGGCCAGACCAAATGAGAATCTTCTCATCTCCCATGTGTGGTAGGGGCTCAAGCACTTGGGTCATCTGCTGCTGCATTACCTGGGTGCATTAACAGGGAGCTGGATCAGGAGTGGAGCAATGGGTAATTACATAGCCACCCATATGGTTACAGACTTTAAAAATCAATTAGTAGAGCTATTTCCATCATAGCTTTTGTAACATTATTAATTACAGTAAATATTAGGGTTTTTTTTTACTGTACTAGGTTTTCTTTTGTATATTAGATATATGTATATTAGATTTTCTTTTGAAAGAGTTAGAGACAGAGATTTTCCATCCGCTGGTCCACTCCTCGGATGGCCACAGCAGCTGGAGCTGAGCTAATCTGAAGCCAGGAGACAGGATCTAGGACCTTCCTCTGGGTCTCCCAAATGGGTGAGTCATCCTTCACTGCTCTCTGACACAAGCAGGGAGCTACAATGGAAGTGGAGCACCTAAGACTTGAACCAGTGCCATATAATGCCAGAGCCACAGGCAGAGCCCTAACTTGTTATACCCAAGAGTGTAATATTATACAGTAGGGAGACTGAAAAAAAGTTTGATTCTCCCAGGGTAAAGAACTCTTGTCATTTATTACAGTTGTTTATAATCATGAAGTATATAATTAGCCAAGATAAATATGAACAGACCTTTTGGGTAAGTAACTACTTTAAAAATACAAGTTCTGCTCCCTAGGCAGCATTCAGCAGAGGCCGTTTGAATCGAAAGCTAACCACCAGTCATTTTCAATTGAAAACAGTTTTTGTGTTTACTGATAAACCTTAAAATATGTATCTGCATAGCTTCATAGACAAAAATAGTATAGGACATAATATGAAAAGCCCTAATCTGAAAATTCCAAATGTTCTAAAATGTGAAACTTTTGACGTGCTGATGTGATATCACAAGAAAAATTTTGCATCTACTTCATGTGATAAGTCAGTCAGAGCTTCACAACTAAATATTTAAAGTCACTTTTAGGCCAAGTATATAAAGTATATATGAAAAGTAAATGAATGTCTTGCTTAGAACTGGTTCCTTTGCCAAGATATTCCATTATCTCATATGCAAATATTCTAGAAACCAAGAAAGTCCAAAATGAGAAACACATCCATTCAGAAGCATTTTGGATAAGGAATATTCACCTGCATTGATTTTACTATCTTAATTAGATATGTTTATGTTTATTTGAAAGACAGACTTGCAGAGAAAAGGAAAGACCTTCCATCTACTAGTTTACTCCCCAAATGGCCACAACAGGAAGAACTGAGCTATTCTGAATCAGGAGTTTATTCTGGAACTCTCACATGGATGCAGAAGCCCAAGCACTTGGGCCATCCTCTGCTGCTTTCCCAGCTCATAAGCATGGAGCTGGATCTGAAGTGAAGTAGTCAGAACTAGAACTGGCAACCGTGTTGGGATGCTGGCAATGAAGTCAGAAGTATTGGCCTGTGAGCCACCATGCAAGCCCCCTATTATCAATTAGAATAAAGCAAATCACTAACAAATTTATCAGTAATAATGTAATTTGTTTTGTTTGGTAACTAACTTCTCTGGAAACATTTAAGATAAACAGATTTCCAGCTAATTTTTAAAAATTACATTATTCCAAGGTTAAAATCAATAAATAACTATAACTATATTTATCAAGTATAGCATAACCACTGTCTGCAACAAAACAATAATGTCTCAAAATTGGATTCAGATTGTATGAAAATTTGTAGTATTCGCTTGTAAGATGTGAAGTTTCCAGGGCCCAGCACAATAGCCTAGTGACTAAAACCTCTCCTTGCATGCTGTGAATCCTCGCTGTTTCACTTCCCATGCAACTCCCTGCTAGTGGCATGGGAAAGTAGTAGAGGATGGCCTAAAGTCTTGGGTTCCTGCACCCACATGAGACCACTGGAAAAAGCTCCTGGCTTCAGATAGGCTCAGCTCCAGACATTGTGACCATTTGGGGAGGGAACCAGTGGATGGAAGATCTTTCTCTCTGTCCATCTCTCTGTATGTCTTCCTTTCCAGTACAAATAAATACATTAAAAAAAAATTCCAAAAAATAAAGATGCTGGTCTAAATTTAGTTGGCTCATTGTAAGTATATATCCATATCTACATTTACATGCTTTGAAATGTTAATATAAGCAATAATCATATAACCTATCTAGAGAAATTCAAAAGATTCAGAAATTCATTCATTCACTCTTGTTAGAGAAAACAGGGCCTTATGTGATCCTAAAATCTGTCTTTTTGCTTTACTCTGTGATAAAATCGAGAAGTCATGCAGCTATCTTTTCAATCTCACATTATTATAGGGCCAATTTCTCTAATGAGCCTGTTTGATTTACAACCCAGCCGGCCCAGGAAGACTGTCCTAATGCAGAAGCTCTTTAGCAAACTATTGCTTTATCACCTGTGGTGTATTCACCCTGAATGTTAGGGAACAAGACAGCTTCTGCAACCATGGTGCTTCAGCAATTTCTCTCAATTTCTAGCTCATGTTAGAAAAAATAATCCAATGCTCAAGATAAATTGTGAAATTATTGGACCACCTGGAAATTTCACAGCAGGCATTTTCAGAAGAGAAAATCCCATTTGCTTTGCTGTTCTGAGCCACTGGCAAGCTCACCCCTGGGAGCAGCAGTTCCTCCTCATGGAGGAATGTCAGTTTGCTCAGGTGATGGCAGTTTCTTGAACTTAGTCTGCTGGCAGCACAGGAGAACTTACCCCTTGGAACTCGGCTCATAAACAAAGCTCTAGCATCTTACATTAGATAAGGTTCTACTCTAGACCTGTTCTCAAACCAAGAACTTATTCTAGGTAGATCCAGTGCAAGTTGCTTCCTCCAAGTTGGCTGCATGTGTAGGACCATCATAAGGACTTATACACAACGATGGCTGGTTAGAGTCACAGCCAGGAATCTGTATGGGCAACAATAGGAATAACAGTTTATGTACAGGGATTTCTAGCCGAGGGCCTAATTTTAATGACATTTTTGAGAATTACATAAGTTTCCCAGAAGGACCTAAATGTAACATATAAGCTAATCTGTCTCTATTTTGCTGGCTCATATTTTGGAGCCATAATCCTCAACTCTCAGCTGCCTTATTGGCTTAAAAGCCAGTGACTAATGTTCTATTATGAGACAAAACTTCCAAACTCCAAAAGAATGGAAAATAGGACTTACATCTCTCTTTTTTTTTAATGTAACAGTGCCTTTAGTCTTTTTTCAGAATTGACAAATGTCTTTTCACTATATCTATAATACTAAGAAATCGGGATAGGACTGGTGCTGTAGCATGGCAGATATAGTCATCTTCTGTGGCACCAGTATTCCCTCCTGGCACTGGTTCAAGTCCTGGCTGGTCCACATCTAATTCAGCATCCTTCTAATGCACCTGGGAACGTAGCTAAAAGTGGCTCAGTTGCTTGGGCTCCTAAACCCAAGTGGGAGACCCAGAAGAAATTCCTGGCTCTGGACCAGCCCACTCTGGCTATTTGGGGATTGAGTCAGCAGATGAATGAATATGTCTTTCTCTTTCTCTCTCTCTCTCCCCCCCCCCACCAACCCTCCCTTCTCTCCCCACTTCCCTCCTTTCTTCCCTCCCTTCCCTACAGTAGATCAGCTGGTTTTTCAGGAAGGTCCAGTGACTGGGTGGTGGTGGTTCTTTTCTGAGGAATGATCTTTTCTGTACATTGTTTTTCCCAGGTTAGAATGTTGCGACCTAACTACAGTTTGTTGCCTGAATCTATCCAAGGCTCTCATCAGTAACCAGAAACTGATAATGCTGAATCTGTCAACCAATAATTTGTTAGATGATGGAGTGAAGCTTTTGTGTGAGGCCTTAAGACATCCAAAGTGTCATCTAGAGAGACTGTCGTAAGTTGTTTTGTTCAGTTCTGTATAGCTTACTTAGGAACTGGGGAAGACTGCCTGGGTCTTGACCCGCATGTGCTCTAATTCTGTGTGACTCCCAAATGTATGCCTCTGGTCTCCCTTCATTTCCCTTCCTCTTTTACTTGGCTTTTGTAATTTGCATAATAGTAAGAGGCTTAAACTTTGTTGCTGTTGTTTGCTTTTAAATTAAAACTAACTTAATGGGAATACAGTCAATGGCTATAAACAATTGAATGGATTAAAAATAACCTGCACCACCTGCTTATAGCAGCACTGATCACAGTAACCAAAGTTTGTAACCAACCAATGTACCTCTCAGAAGATGAATGGGCTAAGAAAATGTATTATTGTGTATATCTATACAATAAAATTTGATTCTGCTAAAATAAGAATGAAATTCTACAATTTGCAGCTAAATGGACTCAACTGAAAGACATATTTCTTGCCTAGGCATCTCTCCTCTTCTGTGTTTTAGACCTTGTCTACAGTGGCCATGAAATTTATAGTTCAAGTAAATCTGCTGAGGTTGGCTCCTTAGTATTGGTTTATTTATAGGTATATTATTTTATTATATTATCTATAAGTATATTATATAAAGTTTGGGGTACCAGCTAATGTCTCCAGGAAAAAGAGAATATGAAGTTAAGGGAATTGACAGATCCCTCACATGTGTTTCTCTTTCAGCTTAGAAAGCTGTGGCCTCACAGAAGTTGGTTGTGAGGATCTTTCTTTGGCTATTGTCAGCAATCAAAACCTGACGCATCTATGTTTGGCAGATAATATAATAGGAGATGGTGGAGTAAAGTTTATAAGTGATGTCTTGGCACACCCACAGTGTACTCTACAAAGCCTTGTGTAAGTGATGACTAGTTTTCATTTTTCTGGTATGTTGTAGAAGTGTATTTAAAGTGAGAACATGTTAGGAACATACTCTGTCACTTGCTTCTTCCCTATCACCATCAATGATAATGAAGAAAATGATACTAGTAACAACCATTCAAACACAAATATGGCTTCCATTAAATGGCTGGATCTCAGTGGAATCAATGTTCATTTTTATCAGATAATTTCTTTTTTTTAAAGATTTATTTATTTTTATTACAAAGTCAGATATACAGAGAGAAGGAGAGAGAGGAAGATCTTCTATCCGGTGATTCACTCCCCAAGTGAGCACAACGGCCGGTACTGCACCAATCCAAAGCCAGGAACCAGGAACCCTCCTCCAGGTCTCCCACATGGGTGCAGGGACCCAAGGCTTTGGGCCGTCCTCCACTGCTTTCCCAGGCCACAAGCAAGAAGCTGGATGGGAAGTGAAGCTGCCAGGATTAGAACCGGCACCCATATGGTATCCCGGGGCATGTTCAAGGCCAGGACTTTAGTTTCTAGGCCACTCAGCCGGGCCCTCAGATTTTTTAAATACAAACCAAAATTTTTGTCAGATGTGGTTAAATTACCTTCCATAATAAGTTATTTATATTCCCCGCAGTTAAAGGTCCTGCATTTTAGAAACCTCATTAAATTGATTAAATATGTTTTAAGATAATTAAAATTTTATTTTATAAAAAGTATGTCATTTTATACTCCATTTGGTTTAATTTTAATATTTACATGTTAAATTTTCCAAATTAGTTGTAAGCCTTAAACTTCTTCCTTCTCTTATTTAAGATCTGCTATATAAAAAATTACTGATATTTATTTTCCTTACTGATTGAAAATGCCGTTTTCATGAAGAGACTGCATGCTTTATTAGGATCATTGCTGTTGTGCCCCATCTAGCTCCTTAGCTATTCCATGCAGCTACATCCAAAAGATTCTGCTGTTTTTGCGCAATGTAAAAAAGTAACATTTTATGAAGGACTGGAATTCAGTTTGTAGCCTGAAGTGGGGTAAGCCTGCTTCCAAAGAGACTAGCAGTGATGGTGCATGATCTGAGGTGGGATGTTAGGTAGACAGGAAGTGAGAACCTGAAACCTTTTTACAGGTAGAGATCTCTGGGCGGTAGAGCAATGACTCCATCTCCTGACATTGTCTCCCTTATAGGCTCAACCTGTGCCATTTCACTTCAACTAGCAGCAGATATCTCTCTGCTTCTCTTATGCACAACAAAAGCCTGAGACATCTGGACCTGGGATTGAACAAACTGCAAGATGAAGGAGCAAAGCTTCTGTGTGATGTCTTTCGACGTCCAAGCTGCAATCTTGAGGCCGTGGGGTAGGTTTCCTTAGCCTTGACTTTTCTGGGACTCCAGCTATAGTGTTTGTGGGGATAGGGGAGATATGAAAAGAGAGACTGAGAACTAAGTATCTGTCCGAGAAAGGAATATTTATCTTCCATATATTTTTTCTCATTCTGCCCAAGACAAACTGGTGAAGTTTTTTACTCAGGTTTGAAGAAATACTGTATGGGGAAAGCACAGTTGCTAAACCACTGCTTCTGGCACCTGCATCCTGTGCTTCAGTGCCTGGGTTTGAATCCCAGCTCCACCTTGCATACCAATGTCATACTAATGTGTACCTTGGGAAGCAGCAGTTGATAACTTAAATACTTGAATCCTTGTCATCTGTGTGGGAAACTCAGAAAGAATTCTTCGCTCATGCTTAGTCCTGGCCCAGCCCTAGTTATTGTGGGCATTTTGAAAGTGAAACAGAAGACAGTAGATTTCATTTTATTTTATTCATTTATTCCCTCTACCTCTTTCCCTGTCTCCCTTCCTCCCTCCTTCCCTGAATCTATATATATATCTTTCATTGATTCTGTCCCCTCCCATATTTTTTTCAATCAGCAATTAAAAGCATTATTATATCCATTATAGTCAGCTTCCCTTGGGGAAGGAGGACAGAGGTATCAAACTGAATTGTGGTTATTTTATTATCCATGGTGACTCTACCCTGTGCTTTTATATCCACGAAGCTAGGATTACACTCTACTTATCTTTCACATTTATATGTATTATAATTAAGCCAAATCTCAGAAAGCAAGTAGGCTTTACAAATATCCTGAAATCCATTTTTTAAAAAAAGATTTATTTGAAAGCCAGATCCTCCATCTGCTGTTTCACTCCCCAATGGCTAAAACAGCTAGGCCTGAACAGATCAAAACAGGTGGTTCATCTGGTTTTCCATTATGAATGACAGGGTCCCAGCACTTGGGCTATCTTCTGCTTTTTCCTGACCATTAGCAGGGAGCTGGGTTGAAGTGCAGCAGCTTTATGTGCCACTGCCCCGCCTAAATAGCAACCTCTTATTCCTATTATGTCCCCTCATTGTGTATATGTAATTGTATAGTTGTGACTTTAGGGTTTCCTTTTCAGTGGTTATTCAGACACACATTTGAACTTATTTTGAGCTATCTTATTGGGCATTTTAATGATAGTATATTTAATATTTCATCTTGTACGTATTGTTGCTAGAATTAAGTTACACAAACGTGTTGCAGTAGTCTCAGCTTACTTGCCATCAGGGCCCCTATAAGACAAAGGCCTTGAATGAGTTAGTAAGCTTCTGACCTCTGAATTTTTAAACAATAGTTAAATTACTTAGTATACCCAGAAGTATTTTCTTTGAACTGACTGCTACTAATCACAAGACCAAACAAGTTTTGTAGTTGATTGTGACAATGTGCAAACACGAAGGTGACCTATTCCTCAAGGACAATAAGCAGCTATGTTTCCCTATGGAAATGTCTATGATGTGAAGTTCTGATTCTATGAAATTTCCTTGATTGTTCCCCATCTGGAAGACTAAGTTCTACTTAAAGGACATTACTAAATCCAGAGCCTCCATTTCAACTCAGAGATAAAATTTCTTTGTTATTTTATCTATATAAATGAAAAATGCTATATATTTTATGATACAGATCTAGGGGCAAAGATTCTTCCCACCCCATTATCCATCCTGCGTTCCTACCCTCCTTTCTCATTTGTCTTTTTAAAATTTCTACAATGACACACTTTCAGTTAAATTCATTATCATAGACTAAACCCTCCATTTGAAGAATTTGACTAATAGCAAGTAGAAGAAACCATTGTTCTTCAAGAGTATATAGACAAAGGCTATAAGCAAAAATCAAATCCAAAATGTTGTTTTCACTAACACATAACATTTTTGTACTCTGTATGAGTTACAGAAGATCAAGGGGATACATATATGTTTTGATATGCTCTGCTGTTATCCTCGTCACGTTCAGAATGTTTTCATTTCCCTTTTATTTCTCTCATGGGAATTCTTTAGCTACATGATAAAAAGTAAAATTTCTAAGTGACCTAACTATTCAAGGTGTTTGCTCAGCTCACCTTATTTCCTTAGCATTGCTGTAAACATTAAGAAAAATTTGTGCTTTCTTACCTATCTTCATAGCTTCTGTGTAATTTTACCATTCTTTCAAGCATAATACAAGGTAAATACTGAAGACACTATATGGCACAAATGTAAGTCTACAGATTTCTAAAACACATGCTGTCGATTGAGAGAAAATAAATATGCAGCCAATTACAGTATAATCCCTATATTATAAGGATGTGGGAAAAATTCCAAAGAGTGGGGCTGCATAATAGAGACTAAAGGAGTTCACGTTTGAAGGATGATGAGGGTGAACAAACAATAGAAGGAGAATAGCGGCAGATGAGTCATACCTGGAGAGAAATCATGTGTATGTCAAAAGAATATGGTGGAGACAATGTATGGAAAGAGAAAGATTGAGGCAGCATTGTCAATATGCCTTGAATGCCAAGGGAACAACCTGAAAGAAAATCTTTTGAGAGACAAGACTGAGCCAGATGCCTAGGATGGTTTATTTATTTTTTTTTTATTTCAGAACTATTGTAAAAATGGAAAGAGTAGGTATCTATGGAGTCCTACATAAAGTTCATATTCATTTTAAAAAATACATATTTATTCAAAAGTCAGAACTACAGGGAGATCTTTCATCTGCTGGTTCACTCCCCAAATAGCTGCTACCAGCCAAGGCAGGGCTAGGCCAAAGCCAGGAGCTTCATCTTTGTCTCCAATGAAGATGCAGGTGCCCGAATATTTTGTCCATCCTCTACTGCTTTCTTATTTATTATCAGTTCATTATCAGGGATCAGGATCAGAACTGGAGCAGCCAGGACTTAAACTGGCATCCTTGTGAAGTTTCTCATCTCACATAATAAATAGGGACCTTAAATTTCTCTCAAGGGGCTGGAAATGTGGCATAGTAGGTAAAGCTGCTACCTATGATACTGGCATCCCACATGGGTACCATTTCTAGTCCCTGTTGATCCATGTCCTATCCAGCTTTCCCATGCACCTGGGAAAGCAGTGGAAGATGGCCCAAGTCCTTTGGTTCTGCACCTACATGGCAGACATGGATGAAGCTCTGGCTTCTACCTGGTATAGCCGTGACTATACCACGTTATTTGGGGCATGAACAAGCAGATGGATGGTGGATCTCTGTCTACTGGCCCCCTGAATGCTACCTTTCAGATAAATAAACAAAAATAAAAGTTTGGAGAGTATTAACTGGGAAACGTGACCATCTAAGTTATTTGAGGAATTAATAGAAAGCAGTGACTAACATGACCATAATTGTTTTAAGACAGGGGCTAAGGTTTCCTAGGCAGTAATGATATCCATTGAATTAAAATCTTTTTTATTAGATATATTAGCTTCTAATATAAAAGTGTATGACCTATTCCTTAACCATATAAACAATAGTACATTTCTGAAATTGGAAATAAAAATTCCATCTAGGATAGGTATTTGGGTTAATGGTTACAAGGTCTGAAACTCCTATCAAAGTGCTTAAGTCTGACTCCAGGCTTCAACCCACAGCCAGCTTCCTGCTAAAGTGGACCTAAAGGAGCAGCAGTAATGGCTCAAATTGTACAAGACATGGATTAAATTCCCAGATGCCAGCTCTAGCCTAACCCAGCTCCAATCTCCGTAGGCATCTGGCCATGAACCAGCTAAGAGAGGGTAGTCTGTGTCCCTGTCCCTCTGCTTTGTTAAAAAAAAAAAAAAACTCATTTGTTTCTAGTGGTAATGTCGTATCTGCTCAGGTGTGCACTGAATGGTGGATTTGCTGAGTCAGAAGAGTTGAACCACCTGGGCATCTCTTGCGAGAGGAAGCTGATGCCCATGACTTGATGGACTTAACGTTTCTCTGTGTGTCCTGTAGGTTGGCGGCCTGTGGTCTCACCAGTGCTTGTTGTCTGGATCTGGCTTCTGCCATTTCGAACAACCCAAACATTGGGAGCCTGGAACTTGGTTACAACGACTTACAGGATAGCGGAGTGAAAATTCTGTGTGTCGCTTTGAGACAGCAAAAGTGTAACATTCAGAAGCTTGGGTGAGTTCATGTTTTCCATCAGAAAAATGATACCTATTGATGGATAGTATAACTAAAGTATTATATAGAGACAGAATAAAATTAAATAGTAAATAATATTGACTTATTATATCAGCCTTGTTTAGGGGCTGAACCTAACTTTGTCATATTTCATATACATTAATTGATCTATTTTTCAATACATTATATGAATACATAGTCATCCTTGCTCACACTAAAGACTTTTCATTTCCTTGTACATATACAAATTTTTGTATCAAAATTATGTTCACAAAATGAGGGGTGGGTTTTTTTTTTTGGTTTCCTAAAACTGTTTCTTCATTAAGATTTGTAAAATCTGTTAAGTTTCTTTTTTTTTAAAGATTTATTTATTTATTTATTGGAAAGTCAGATATACAGAGAGGAGGAGAGACAGAGAGGAAGAACTTCCGTCCGATGATTCACTCCCCAAGTGAGCGCAACGGCCGATGCTGTGCCGATCTGAAGCCAGGATCCAGGAACTTCTTCCAGGTATCCCACACGGGTGCAGGGACCCAAGGCTTTGGGCCATCCTCGACTGCTTTCCCAGGCTGCAAGCAGGGAGCTGGAAGGGAAGTGGAGCTGCCAGGATTAGAACCGGCGCCCATATGGGATCCCGGGGCATGTTCAAGGTCAGGACCTTAGCTGCTAGGCCACGCAGCCGGGCCCAAAATCTGTTAAGTTTCTTAAAAATTTTAGGTTTTCTCTTATTGGGTAGTTTTGGTAAGTAATATTGTATCTGTTCATATAATTAGAACATACTGGCAAGGACCTAATATTTTATTATCTGCTTAGCTGTTGAATCATTTGTAGTGATGTTTCATTTCTCTTGATGTTGGCAATGTGGATCTTTTCTCATTTTTTTTCCTCAAGGAACATGACATTAATCATCTATGTAGTTTATAAAATTTTTCTGATTTTATTTCTTGTACTTAGGGATTTTTTTTTAAGATTTTATTTTTATTGGAAAGTCAGATACACAGGGAGGAGAGACAGAGAGGAAGATCTTCCATCTGATGTTTCACTGCCCAAGTGACCACAATGGCCGGAGCTGAGCTGATCTGAAGCCAGGAGCTAGGAGCCTCCTCCAGGTCTCCCACACGGGTGCAGCTTTGGGCCGTCCTCGACTGCTTTCCCAGGCCACAAGCAGGGAGCTGGATGGGAAGTGAAGCCACCGGGATTAGAACCAGTGCCTGTATGGGATCCCAGTGCATGCAAGGCAAGGACTTTTGCCACTAGGTACCGCTCTGGGCTCCTTAGGTTTGTTTTGACATTGTTTTTATGAAATCTTTTTCAATGCTTAGATCATGCCTATCACCATTCTTTCCCAACATAGTTACTCTCGTTTCCCTCCAATTCACATCCTACAAGTTTTACTATTTATGCATTTTATTTTCAGTCTAAATACTTTAAGAATTTCTTTCCTTAATTCCTACTAATTTCCTTAATTTTCTTATTTTCCACTTCCCTGGGTCGTTTTATGACTTACCCTTTGGGCTTGGCACAGTAGCCTAGCAGATAAAGTCCTAGCCTTGTATGTGCCAGGATCCCATATGAGTGCAGGTTCCAACCCTGGTAGCCCTGCTTCCCATCCAGTTCCCTGCTTGTGGCCTGGAAAAGCAGTTGAGGATGGCCCAGAGCATTGGGACCCTGTGCCCATGCATGGGAGACCTGGAGGGAGCTCCTGGTCCCCTGGCTTTGGATCAGCTCAGCTCCAGCCGTTGTGGCTACTTGGGGAGTGAATCATCAGACAGAAGATCTTCCTATCTGTCCTCCCTCATCTCTGTATATCTGACTTTACAATAAATATAAGTAAATCTTTTTTTAAAAAAATTACCCCTTAATTCTAAAACTAAGAGGGCATTCTTGTTTTTTGGAATATTTAATTTCTAGCCTTATGCCTGAGAACATGCTGTGTATAATTTTAGTCTTTGAAATTTGATGACATTTGCTTAATGGTCCCATATTTGTGTATGTTCCACAGTGTACTTGAACATGAAAAGTTGTTGGTGGCAATATTCTATTTCAGTTGGCTGTTAAGTTTTTTAGTCAAATTATGTTAGTGGTAAATTTGCAAAATAATTACTGTGAAAAAGTGTAAAATGTTATAATTCTAGATTTCTGTCTGGTAATTTAGTTTTTGTTTTTTATATTTGAGACTATTAATGACTGAAATTTTTAAATATTTTGATACATTCCTCATCACTATCTTATGTGAATCCTAATTTTGGACAATATTTATATACCTTGTGTCTTAACTGGTGAGTTTTTTTTTTTTTCATCTGTATAGGAGCAAATTGAACATTGTTTTGTATGCTTAGTTACCTGTATAGTTACATAACCATTCAGTGACTTGAGAAATACAAGGCAAGAAGTACACATTTGAGAAATATCAGAAGCAGAAGACCGAGTTTAGCAGGCTTATTCCTGTATTCTGTTGTTGGCTTTGTCAAGGGCCCTTGATTGGCTGGTTGATTTTGCTTATTTGCTTTGTCCATTTCCTTCTTGAGTACAGAAAATTGACTACCTTTCAAAAGTATGTGATGTTTTTGGTATATGCATTTTTATTGGCATACACACCATTGTGCTAGATAACTTCATTACATTCATTTTTTCAAATACTCAACACCACTACTTACAAGAGGGAAAAGTACAGTTAGATGAAGATCCTTAGTAGATTTAGGGCAGGTTTGGTGATTTGTGAAAATAAATTAATTACTTTGTTCCTGTGAGTATTTTGTGTCTGTTTTTGTTTTGGCTTGTAGCAAAAAGCTACTTAAAAAAGAAGAAATATTCTAATTCAGGACATAATGAAAGAGAAATGGTCAGTTACTTTATCATATATGCCCATTTTTACTTAAGCTTTTAAGAGAAAACTCAGAAAAAATGGTCCCTTATGCTTTCCTTTCCTAAGTACCATATACAGCTACTAGAATGCTAGCTGAAATGAGAAATTCCTTATTGCCTTGCTTATATTCATTCCAAAAAAGACCATAACTCCATTCAGCTAAGTTTTCAATTAGACACTGGGATTGTTCCAGAGGCTACACGTGCGTGTGTGTGTATGTATGTGTGCGTTGTCTGTTTGTTTCTATAAGAATTTATTTAGAATGACTCAGTCTTTGTCTACAATACTGTTTATCCACACCCAAATTTTATTGTAAAAATTTTTAATCTAGTTACATTTTGATGTTACAGAATTCAACTGCTTTATAGCATATTGTAGTGTGCTTGTATATTTATATTGAACCAGTATCAACTTGTAATTCATTTATTATTTGGGGAAGGAGATGTTCTGCCTGTAAATACCTAGTGACACTGAATATTATGCATACCTGTAGTCCTCAAATTTATCCTAACGATGCTCATTTTCTGAATGTCTCTGAAATTTGTCTCCATTCCAAACAGTGTGCTTGTTCTCTGTAATGCAGCAGAATCAGAGCTCTCGCTTGTCTCTGTTCCCCATAGGCTGGAGTGCTGTGGTTTGACCGCTCTGTCTTGTGAAGCTCTTGTCTCTACTCTTATTGGCAACCAGAATCTGAAAATAATGAATCTGACTCAGAATGTTTTAGGGTATGAAGGGATTAAGAAGTTAAGTGAAGTCTTGAGGTCTGCAATATGTAAACTACAAGTTCTTGGGTAAGTTTTCATTAGCTTCTGAGAGGGAAAATTTCCTGTTAGGAGGAGGTATGAACAGCCACTCATTTATTACAGGCCACAGAACCAACTGAATTATGGATTGTTTAGTTATTTCCTGGCACTTGTTTTTCTCTCATAATACACTGAATTTTGACAGACATGATATAGCATAGTTTCATGAGTTAAACATTCTGGTGCCACATTATCTGAGTTTTTGAATTCTGGCACTACAACTTAGTAAATGTATTTTAGTATATATATATTTTATAAGTTATTATACACATTCAGAATCATGTGTGGTTTTAACAAATTGTATGTTTTTAGAGTTTACTTATTTTTATTTATTTGAAAGTTAGAAATCCATCATTTACCAGGTCACCCCTCAGATGCATGCAACAGTGAAGCCTGAGTCAGGCAGAAACCAGGATCTCCATCCAGGTATCCCCCATGAGTGACAGGAACCCAACTGCTTGAACCATCACCTGGTGCCTCTTGGATGCTTTAGCAGGAAGCTGGATCACAGATGAGGCAGGACACAATCCCAGGCACTACACTTTAGGATGCAGGCATCCCAAGCAGTAGCTTAACCCATTGTACCACCATACCTGCTCCCTAAATGTTGAATTTAGGCTAGTTTCCTAATCTCTGTGATTTGATTTTTTTTATCTGATATAAAAAATGAAAAAAATCTATATACAGGACTTTTGTGACAATCATTCAGTCAACATAGGACAAGTACTTAGAAGCTAGCAATAGTAGTGGAAACATGGAATGTGTTAGCTGTTACAACGTTAGTGTTTTGCTGGTGTTTGTACACACAGGTGCAAAAATACTCTTGTAGAATTTTTTCACATGTATCTTTCTCTCCTGTTTAAATTTCCCTCAGCTGTCCTAATTTATTTTCTTTCAGCTGTCCTATGTGGTCACTGTATCTGTTTGCAACTCCCTACGCATGGTAATACTCTTCTTTCACAGAATGATTTTTTGTTTGCCTCCTGACAACATTTTAAAAGGAGGTGGAGTGCTTTGGAAAAACTGAATGCAAGAAAATAGACGTCCCTTTGTCTTCCCAGGTTGTGCAAAGAGGTCTTTGATGAGGAAACTCAGAAGCTGCTGGAAGCTGTGACACTTAGAAATCCACGCTTAGTCATTCAGCCAAACTGTAAGGATCACAATGCAGATGTGTCCTGGTGGCAGTGCAGTGATCCCAGTGGAGAAGATGGGTCCTAGAAGCAATGTTTCTCATGAGAACAACCTGGCATTCATTTACAAAAGAATGAGAAAAGCTTCAGAGTAAAAGGATCCTTGGGGTCTTAGCCTTAGATACCCCAGGCCCAAAGTGGGCCTGCAGTGGCTCTGTGTTAAATACATGTTAATGACTCCACTGTAAGTCTGCTCTACTTCACAGGTGGAGAGGTTAGAATAAATTGAAAAACATGAAGCTCTCTGAAAAGTGTAACATTTTTTAATTTAATACAGAGCTTCAGGACTTAGCTAAGAGCCTAGAAATGAGGCTTCAGGTTGGGAGTGCCTTGTTTTCTGCTCCATTCCCATGCCTTAGCTTAGATCCCAGCCTTGCTAACTCTGGCTCATTTTATTAGAATGCTTCTCCATGTGTGATCCTGTGATGGTCAGTGTCAAAATAGCCTGGCTGTCTGTATTAAAATGTAGATTACTTAGTATACAAGGTACAGTGAAGCCAAACATATAGGTGAGGGTCTTTAGGATCTAGCATTTTAGTGTCCTTGATAATTGTTCAGGTGCATTAATATTTGAGAATTAATAGTGTTATTAGAAATGGGAACCTAATTTAAGTTGAAAAATTTTTGTTGTCTCTCTTGTGGGAAAAAAAAGGATTAAAATTAAGGACTATTGGGGGTTAGAGCTAAACACAGATTCTTCCGTTTGATAAAATCATAGCACAATAAATCTTGTGAAACACTGCTTTTGCTTATTCATTGTTGTATAACTATCCCACATTTAGTGGTTTGGTGTTTTTAGAATTGAAAGAATTTGGCTAAATGTTCCTTAAACATCACACAGTATCCCTTGGGGGCTCCTTGATGCTCAGCTGGCAGCCAGCTTGCTGAGGAGGTGCCACCTGGCAAGGACGGCTGAAAGGCTCTGTGCAGCCGTTCCCTTCTCCCTCAACCTTAAGGCCTCTCCATTTGGCCTCTTCAGCAGGGAACATGGACTTCTGGGGTGGGAAGCTCAAGGATTGAAAGGGTCAAGTGGAAATTGCTGGTTGTCTAGAAAGCTACACCTGAATTGGCCCGAAGTCAATTCTGTCATTGTCCATGAGCAAAAATATTGTAGGTCAGCCCAAGTTCAAGGCCAGTTCCTGATGGCAGCAATATTAAAAACGTGTGACTTTCTTTAGTCCACTACACACAATCAATTTTTCTCTCCCAGTCTACAGGAAACAAAAAAGCCTTTTAACTGGTTCTAAAGGGAAACATACACATTTAATGTCTCGTGTAGTCAACACTGAATGCTTCTGGCCATCAGAAATGGGAACCCACTGCTAAGCTGAAAATTTTCCTGCATGCAGTTTTGAGCATTAGATAGGTGTCCTGGTGTCCTGTAATCCAGTTGACATGTGATGCTGTCTACTGGAGGACATGTGGTCCCATAGGACTGCCCTGACTCCAGGTACCTGTCCTGTGTGACTTGTGCTACTGTCCAACCCACCACAAATCAGGATTACTACGACCACCTCCTAGGGTTAAGTTTTGGCTAGGATGGCCCATGCCAGTCAGGGAAATGCTGAATAATGAAACTTACGTGGGTGACATTAGAGTTGAACCAAGTTCTTCTTACTCAAAAAGCTAAGTAAGGTAGCTCTTTCCAATGTCACTGTCCCCTCTCACTTCTTAAATCCAGGACTTTGACCTTTGTAAGGCTCCTCTGCACACACTGTCCCCACTCCAAAAGCAGCCTTTGCACTTTCCCTTTTAAAAATAATGCTGCTTGGCCCGAGGTGTGGTAGCCTAGAAGCTAAAGTCCTCGCCTTGAATGTGCCAGGATCCCATAAGGGTGCCAGTTCTAATCCTGGCGGCCCCGCTTCCTATCCAGCTTCCTGGTTGTGGCCTAGGAATATAGTTGAGGACAACCCAAAGCCTTGGGACCATGCACCTGCATGGGAGAACTGGCAGAAATTCCTGGCTCCTGGCTTCAGATTGTCGCAGCGCTGGCCGTTATGGTCGCTTGGGGAGTGAATCATTGGCTGGAAGATCTTCCTTTCTGTCTCTCCTCTTCTCTGTATATCTGACTTTGTAATAAAAATAAATTTTAAAAAATGCAGCTTAAATACCATATTCCTCCCCACAGAGGTTAAAGCAGTAGGTTTTATACTCCAGCATCACCTCCTGTTCCTAACAAGCACCATGGTATCCCATTTTCTTTTACTCTTTCCTCCTACTGTCACAGAGATCTAATTATTTCCTGTTATCATTTATCACAGTATAAGTTCACAGGGGTGTTTACATTATTTGCATTTTCAGGCTACAAAGTAGTGTCTTGTAGATTTGGGGCTCCCATTAAATAAGGAACAAATAAATGGAAGCACAAATACAGTACTCTGGAATAGCTAACCAGCTGCCTAGCAATTTTGAAGTGGGTGATCCCGTTACAAGCTGCCTGTGAACCCACTCTGGAGACTTCCGAATTGCAGTCTCCACACCAAGAGTCCCAGGAATATATTGTGGGGTGACCATAGTTTCTAGCTGACTCTTTAGATACATTGTCTTAATTGGGCACAGCTGTGGTCTTTGGGTATCGGGGGTCCTCCCGTCCCGCGGAAGAAATCACCCGACACTTGAGAGAGTCTCCAAGGCGCTTTTATTCTGCTCCTCCGTCCCGTCGTGACCGTTGTCCGTTGACCGTTATGACCGTTATATCCGTTACGCTCCAGCCCCTCCCCCGCCAAGCCCCCCGCTTAACTGTCAAACTTGACCAATCAACTTAAAGAGAACCAAGGCACACCAATCAGGGCAAAGGGCCAATCACAGGGCAGGAAATGGTCAGTGCCCCCAACAGCTCCCCCTTCTTGTTTTATTAAGCAAGGGACCGTGCCTGTCTTAGGTGTTCCGAGTTCAGGCTCCCCTTACCCATCATGGGCTAACCACGTGGCTAGGAACGTGGCACCTGTCTTAGGTTGGTGAAGCCATATCGGATACTTACCCGTCTCTGGCTACCGGTCCAGCATGCCTAGCCAGACTTTTAGGGATTATCTGTTGTGAAGGGCAAGCACAGCTTGCACTAGCAGCTGCTGTTACTGCTGCTGACGCTGTGCTCAAGGATGAAGCATCCACAGACCCCAAAGAATGATATAAGGCCCATGGCTACTATACCAGCCCATTGGTGTGCAAAGGAAAGATCCTTTAGTATGCAATTTGTCCATTGCTTTACTATGGCAATCTCTACTTTTGTCGTATGGACCAGCTTCCACTAGGGGATAGCGTAGCGGATAATTCTCTGGACAAATTCAGTGCTCGGGAACCATTGGTGACAATAGAGGGAGTGACACACATTCCAGGTAGACTAAGCACACAGGAGGTCCCCATATGATGGAAATAAGTTGTGGAATGCGTACCAGCACCACAGTGCCAGAGCCATTCCAACACTGGTTAAGGGCTCACTTAACTACAGAGCAATTAACAATAAACACAAATGGAGCTTGTACACATACATAAATAGCATTATAGATAACATAACAACTGCAATTAACTTTAACATTTTCTTCCCATATTCTAGAACTACTACTACTATAATTACAATTTCTTATCACTACCTTATCAATAAATGCAAAAGCTGATATATCTGAACACCCACCCCTATTAGTGCAAAGTACCCAGACATTCCAAGACTGAGCAGAAACAGATTGAACAGGGTTACCATATATATAGTTATACCCCACAAAGGCACAATTTGAACAGGTAGGAAATAAATTGGTCACAGCAAGATCAGGTGCTACTCTTCTAGGAGTCACAGTACTTTGACAGCAGTCCATTCTGGGGGCCATTTCCAAGGCCCTAGACAGCGAGTCAATATTTGCTGCACACCTTTTATGGTGCAGTTTTAGCTGGAGATTCTGGTTGTCTCCTCTCGGTATCTGAATGAACATCAGGCTGGTCAGCATCCACCACGTCCACAGGTTCATCTTGCTCCGGCTTTCTTATCACTCGTGTCAAACGTTCTGGCACCCACACCGGTCCATCAGAATCCTGCGGAAAAACACAAACCGCTCCTCGCGTCCGTCGTAAGACAGGATGCGGGCCCATCCATTGTTTTGTTAAAACATCCTTCCACATCACCCAATCTTTGCAGGGGCCTGCGCCAACAGTGTGGCGTTCGGCAGCAGAATGGCCATCCAAATCCAGAATCAAAAAGTTAAAAATATAAGTAACTAAAGCCAATTGATGTTTAGGACTTTTGGGATATAGGGTGGCTCCTACTCCCCCTTTTTGTTTTATTAATAATGCTTTGAGAGTTGCATGGGCACGCTCTACCACAGCCTGGCCTGTGGGATTATATGGGATGCCAGTAGAGTGTTTAATTGCAAATTCAGAACAAAACTTATCAAATGCTTTGGCTGCATAGGCAGGTCCATTATCAGTCTTATAACACTGGGGGACTCCCCAGGCTGCAAAAGCCTGAAGGCAGTGAGATATAACATCTTGAACCTTTTCCCCTGTATGAGCTGAGGCATAAAGAACCCCAGAGCAGGTATCAATAGAGACATGAACAAAAGAAAGGCGACCAAAACTGGGAACATGGGTAACATCCATCTGCCATATATGATTAGGCATAAGACCACGGGGATTAACCCCAAAACAAGGCTGGGATAAAAATGGGACACAATTTTGGCATTGTCTAATAATACAAAAATATGGTCGGATCCAATTAGTATACCCCAATACCTGCTGGAAATCATTAAGCGTCTTCAAACCATCCATTCTGATTTTTTTTTTTTTTTTTGCGTTTCCATAAGACTTTCTCACCTTCCTGTATACGTCCTCTGAATTTATCAGTGCCATCTGTCAGGCAAGACTTAATCAATGTCCAGAACCTGACCATTCCTGGAGGAGGGGCTCCTGCCGTTCTGCCCTAGCTAAGTCTCTGCCTAAGTGCTCCCATTGTGGCAGGATCAAAAGGCCCTCCTCCAGAAACCATACGGTCATCCTTTGCACCGTTTGCAAAAACAACAGTACCATCAGCAGTTTCTGTAA